GGTCAATAGCAACGAAACGAAACGTTTGGCACATGGATGCCTAATGGCGTAGAAAGCAATCGAAAGACTATGTAGAGGTTTGAAACTCCTCGAATTTTGCGTGTATCAAATGCTACTGACGGTTGTGAGTGGTCCCATTTAATGTATTTAGTAATATTATTTAGTATATTCAAGTAATTTTGACCCATACTCGGCTAACAAACATGTATCAGTCTATGTTAACAAACCGAATCGTTGTGCCAATTATTAGTCTACCAGGGAGTTTTAGCACGAATGCGCTCGTGTCGCTGATAGATATTTCATGAACAGGAAGGGCTAGAGACGTTTGGTTGGTCTCATTGGAAGCTTAATAAAAACGTGAAATAATGGTAAAAGTGTTTTCAATTGTCGGGACAATTGTTTTCACAACGTCCCGTTAAATGATCCCCTTGCTCGTAGACTCGAATCTGGAGATTCCCGCCTTCTCTTGATTTATAGTTTATTTTTAATGGAGCTCATATTTCCCTTTTTACACATTTAAGATGAACACAGTCTGAGGTATTTTTCATCAATGTGGTCATATTTTCGTCCTAGGTCCAATACTTGTGCCTGTGATATTTACATGCAGGAAAAAACTATTACCTTGTCACAATACAATCCTGCATTTATATAATAAAAAACGTCTAGCCTTTTGTAAAACACTTACCTTTTCGCCAACATATCTCGTCAGATTTGGTTTCTTTTAGTCGATCGTCTAGTATCTTACAACTTGACAATGTGCTTCTCCATTACTGTTTATGAGTTAGGCTTTTTCATTACCCTTTTTGTTACTCATGCCACTTAAAACAAATGTTGTTTATTTTTGTTGTATTTTCTTTCTTATTGAAAAATGATTTTGAACGTTAAGTATACAAAAATCTAATGACAATGTCTCAAAGATTATTTGATATATTCAAATGTCTTCATACTCATAATTATATCAGACTATTGCTAATTTAACAACTACTCTAAAATTGTTTATTTCTAAAAGGTCTTTTAGATGGAACTTCCCGTAAAAAAACTTAAAGTTCTTTCGGGATATTAGCGAAATCCTATGAGCTATAGTATATAATTTTGTACTTTGTATCATCACCAATTTTGAATTACTAATTTTACTATAGTTACATGTAAAATCCATTTAACTTTGTCGCCATCTGTTCTCGTAATAGTTCTTGAGACAGAACATGAAAATTTTGAAAAGGAGATCCCGCGTAGGAAATGGAAAAGCGTAACAAATAATTGACATTTGCAGACTTGACTCTATTCTCTGACAGTCGATATAATACTGACAATAATTTTTCCAGCCGCGTAACACCGATTTTTAGGGATGGTCCATTTTAAATACTATAAATTTTGTGGATCAGAAAAGTGTTACAGAATATCTGAAATTACAAGTGAACACAAAGTATTGAACATCACTTAATGTGAATTAAAGTAATTATAAGTGGTAATCTCAATTGACAAAATTGCTTTTTTGGAAATAAAATGATTTCAAAACTATGATATCAACATGCAACTCTGAATTCTTGAATATATTAACAGTAAACAACAATATTTTAGGAGTGAGTCCCTTTTAAACTAAGATTTTTTTTTTTTAAAAAACTATTGATAGTTTTAACCCTGAACAGATGAGCATCAACATCACACTTGTAATTATCTGATATAAAGGCTAAAATATTTAAAAAAAATCTCATCATATATTCAAGCTTTAGTTTACTATTATGTAAACAATAAATAAGCCTCGGTTTCTTTTACATAACTTTTGATTGGCTGTTATTTTGCTTCCTAGTCGGTTTAACTTTCGGCAAGAGTAGACTTATCGTATCATGAAACGAGATTTAGTTGTAATAAAGTTATGTTTTCAAAAGCATAATAGTTATAAGGTTTTGCTACTTCACCAACGGAAGGTTTTTTTATTAAGTTGTAAGTAATATTTATTATTTTTGTTTAAACAAATCATGATTATACTAATTTTCATTGTTCCTTTTTACAGCTATTCAATTATTTTTTTTAAAATACATTATACGTTATTTTTTCAACACCTTATATATAAATTAACTTTAAGTATTTGTGAAACGTTGTCATTTTCATTTTATTTTCAATGCACAATGTCTCTCTTCTTATTCCTTTTTAGTCATTCTTGTGCAGATTTTGGTTTAAAAACTGTGAAAAACAGCTATACCAAAGACTTCAAACTCCATAGTCATATGCGTTATTTCAATTTTTCTTTCTACACTATTAGATAGAACGTAAAATATATTGTAAAACCATTATTTGTAGTGCTTGTCCGTGAAGATAATATGTAAATATACAACAAAACGAACTTATTATATCCTAGCTTACGTCAATTTCATAATCATATTGCTTTGTCATTAATTTAAATATTTTGACAATTTCAGCATCAGCGCTATTACGAGTGTATTACAATTAATTATATAGATAATTGGTGTACACTAATTTTGCAAGTTATTTTGGTCCCGCGAATATTTCCAGTGCCTTACGAACATGAGTTGAAAACAGCACCGCATAAATAATTTATTTTTGAACAGGGATTGTTTAAGTGGAGGTTTTTTATTTACTTGTCGTAAAAAGTCCTTAATAATCAATCTACATGTAGTTTTTGGTTCTTTTTTGACACCTATATGTATATTCTAAATAGGATTATTAATATTTTATATTATAATAAGTTGCCTCAAAATACTCGTCTAAAATCAAACAAATAACAATTTATGTGTTTGAATTTTGTGTTTCATACTTACATGTCTTTAACCTTTCCTACTGTAACAACTGTAAAACAAAGCTATACAAAATATAGCCAAAAATCAATATTCTGTATTTGCTTATTCAGTTATCAGCAAGATTAAAGATTCAATCTTGTATGTGCCTATTAAACAGACATATCTTTGCATTATTGATTTTAAGCGATATGCCCACAATGTCATGAATCGTCTCTATATGTAACGCGCACAATGTGATAATATTGCCGTTAAAGATAATAACAACAATAAACATGTTTTCATAGGTAAAAGAATAAATTTAACTTACTTTACATTTATGGAACTGTAGCTATTATGATGAAATATTAATTGTTTAGGAAAACAGTATCATAAAGTACAGTAGCTCGGACGTTTCGGTTGCCAAAAATAGCGTTGTTCGTGCGTCCGTTTTTCGTGTAACGTGTGTGCGTATAACGTGCAACGTGCGTTTGTTAAAACGCTTTCTCAAGCGTGCATCGTTTACAAGCGTTTAACGGTTATAGTTTTCCGTATATCGTTTTTCATTTTTCGTGCGTTTGAGAGTGTGCGTCGTTTGCTCTCGTTTAGCGTGCGTATGCGTCCGTTTATCGTTTGGTCCAGAATAGCGTGAGTCTGCGTCTGTTATTAGTTTAGAATATATAGTCTAAGCGAAATGTTGGTAAACTTTATATGATAGTATTCGACAGTTCTGTTGTTTTTTTGTTTTTGTTTTCAAGTAAAATCTTTTCTATAAATAACATAAATTTGATGTTGTTAACTCTAACATTCGATCTTATTTGTGACCCTATGATGAAGTATCATGAACACAGGACATCGACGCGCGTTATTTACACCGAAGATTAGGCATTTAATTATATTTTACAGACGCAAAGAATTTAATTACTCTTCAATTGCAAAGTTGCTGTTAATAAAATAATCTTTGAAATGTATAAGACAGGGTGTAAGAAAACTTTTGCAGAACTATAAACAAACGAGGAACGTAAATGTACTTAAAACGTACAGTATTATATTCAGCGCTTGAAACTGCATTTTGTCATTGTAAGTTTGAACGGTTACGTGTAAAGATAACAAGTGAATGATAAATTCAATATGCAGATTGGTTTTCCACTCAAAAAGTATCTCAGTAAAAAAAACTTACCTGAGATTGATGTATGATATTTTTAATCCAGCGGTACAGCAACAATTACTTGAAGTAGCACTAATTTACATGTATAAATTCGGAAAAGCAATAAACAGATGTCGGATATATATGTCCTTTAATAATGCCTTAATTTCACACTTACAATAGTTTCTCACAGATATACCCGCGATGTCAATTAGCGCATTACACAGATAAAAGACTCGATAATATCCCATCGACATTGTTTTCAGAGACACCTTATTTATTTGTGAAGGGTAATTAACGACCGGATTTACTTTTATTCTACTTGTGTGAAATTCAAAGAACCAATTAAACCTTTTACATAAAGATCAATTGTTATATCAATAAAAAGATTATAGAAAATATAAATGTTCAAGACTATTTGAATATATTAACGTTATAGTTATATATGAATATAATAGGCAAAAAATTGCTGTTGAACGTTTTGAAACGTTCGGACGAAACGTTCTATTTTGCGTGCGATTCAAAGCGTTTCGAGAAGGCGCATATCGTTTAGCGTATATCGTTTTTCGTTTTGCTTGCGTCTGCGTATTTCGTTTGGTATTTCGTGCGTTTTTTTCCGAGCGTGCGTTTTGCCTGTTAACTGAAACGTTCACCCTACTGTAGAAGACACTTACGTTCTTCAGTTCATAAACCCTGCTAAAGTATTTTGATACATGAACGGTATTCTGAACTACTATAACATGAATGCACTTACAAAATGTAACAACTTACATATTACGAATTGTGATTTAATCTCATTCCAACACTTTCGTGCTAAAGCTGTAATTTTATTGCGGCGCAAAATGACACGAGTATTTCTAAATGACAATGACATGCTTTTAGCGGGGATGTCATTCAATTGACCAGTGTATGTATTATCAGTCAAATCACAGTTTTTTCTTTTCGTCTATAATTCAAATTACAAGGCAAGTAAGAATTCTTAATAATAAAACAGTTGCATGAAATTGGCTGTTTTATATAATAAATTCAATATAATTTGAAATGTATTTTAAGAAATAAAGAAAAGAATGTTTTTGCAATATTATAAACGACATTTATTATTTTTGTTTTAATCAAGGTATTCTAAATTTGCATAAATGTCTCACAACATATACGACAAAGAAACTCGAAACTGGGTCAAAGGCAACTTTGCACTAAAATCAACGAAATCAGCTTTATGTAAGTGTATTGAAGACAAACTCAATACATTTGTAGACAGCCTTGCATACAGAAAGCCAGAATTGACACTATTTCTTCATTGTCTGAAGACCAATAACATATGCAAATTGACACAATTAAAGAAGCCTCCGAAAACAGGGAACAAATTAAAATTTCAAAAGACAGAATTTCATTGTAAACACGACGCTTGTATTCAACTAATGAAGGAATTTGTCGGCATTCACCAGGATCGCAATGTATTGAAAAACTGTTATGTTTGGGTAGCTTATCACACCAATGTTCCAAATCAAACGTCAGCTCTTGAAAGAAAAGACTTGATATGGCAATTATCAGCTTTGTACATGCATATCGACAATGGAGACGATAGGAAATGCAAGTCACTTGATGATCTTGATATTTCAAAAGTCATCAAAATAATGAGGAATTGTACAGAGCTATGGCCAGACGGCATCCTTACGCATTTGGATAAAGTAAGTTATATTACGTGCTATTTTGTATAAATAACATGAACAATTTGCATTTTCCTTTAGAAAATTTCAATATGTATTGAACCAAGTTTATACATGGAATTCGAGAAAAGAAAGTATTGAATGTTTAAGATAGATCTATGAATTAAGTTTCTGTACTGTGCATTACATAAACATGTTTGCTAGGTGGGATTGAATTTTTACAAGATTTCCGTTTTTTTAATGCAAGTTTTCCTTTCTATTCGACAGGTTTTGAATTGGAGAAATATATTGATGCATTCCCCAGATCTTAAAATGGATGACCGAAATGTGACGAGCATGCTTTCTGATTCGCGAGGGCTTCTCGAATTCCTGCAAAACCCTTCAAGATATATTGACAATGCATTAAAAACTCTCCAGAGAGTATGTTTGCCAATACATATCTAAACTCATTTTGGAAGATTACGATAGAAATTAAATGATAAAATATTTGACAAGCATAGGTCAATTTAATATTTAAAATGTAAAAAAGAAATTGAAATGATTGAAATATTGATATATAATTATAGAAATTTTCAAAATCATGCACTATTAACTATCTTTCTTTTATTTTTTATTTTCAAAATAATTTAGCTTTTAGAAAACGAAATTTACATTGGTAACCTACCAGAGGAAATGAAAGAAGTTTTGAAAAAAGCAAGTAATGCAAAAGAAAGGATAGAACGCTTATACCGTTCCGTTGATTCAGGCTCATATATAAAGACAGATCTAAAATCGGTACTTGGCCTGTTAGGCGATATATGTCAAACAGAAGTAAGTGAATTTTCCGTTCTAGTTTCTTATAATGTATCAGCGATATTCACTTGTACTGATGCACCATGTATTATATTCCATCTAAAGTCTAAAACAAATGTAACGTATGTACGTAATGTATATATTTTTTTAACATCAGATTACAGTTTTGTAAAGGAGAACATATTTTGCTAAAGTTAATTAATCAGTAACAGAATGTTTGTAATACCAAAATAATTGTGTGGATATTTACTGTGCATATAAAGCAGTAAAAACTAGTTTTAAACAAAGGAAAGGTTGACATTAGGCTATCAGTTAATAAAAAGTGTGATTTATATATATGTTAAATATATTGTAAGATTCCTCATGTCGTTATTTTGTTTTGAAAAATAGTTAACTTTGTTTTTTATCCAAAATTAATTAGAATACTGTATTTCCACAATTTTCAGGCAATGCCTTTGAGCTTTGAACCACGTAATTACAAAATAGAAATTGAGATGTTCATCGAAAGTCAGATTCAAGCGATAGACTCTGATTTAGCCTCATGTGACATCACACCGTCTGAGAAAACCCAATTGAAAAATACTCGTGGAATAATTGAAAACGTTCAAAAGGTTTTAAACTGTATATTGCTTGCAAAAACGAACAGTTGTCATATAGTTTGATAAACTATATTGTACTATTGAAATCACGATATGATATTTAATATAAATTTCTATAAATAAACGTAAAAGACTCTTAAGCATATACATTATAACAATTTCCGTCTCTATACATGCAAATGTTACCTATTGAGAGCAAAGATAGGTAAAGAAAAGAGTGTCAGTTTCATTTGTTTTTCGGGTCTGAGGCATCTCACAATTGCAAGTGTACAATTATGCGTTTTGTTATAGTTGTAAAAAGTTGCCAAGCGAGCGTTAGTGTACTCTTCTGAACCTTTTGGCAATCGTATACGTTCAGTGTAGTACATAGAAATATCTTTTAAGAAAAGGTTCTAGAAAGCTTGAATTATGTTTCTCCTTTTCATGATCTTTTATGAACATCCTAAAACATACAAAGTCAGTAAATTCATTTTTTTTCAATTTTGTTTACGCACTCAAATACGATCATATGTAAAATCATGATTTGCATTTACATGTGATTGAGATAATGCATATAAATTAATTTACAATTCAATTCCAGGTACTGAATGCGGAAACTGACAAAGAAACTCTCGTCCAATTCCAGATATTTTCGCAAAAGGAAAGCATGCACAATATAGAAACACGGTAAACATTTTATAATCATGTAAATACATATAATCTTTAAAATAAATGCAACAATCTAAAAAAAAAAGATAAGATAATCGTGCAAAAAAAGAACCAATTCAGGTTAACAAACAATAACTAACACTTAAAGACTAGATTGGCTGTTTAGTACTCTTACTCGTTTATGGATGGAATGCATTTTCCCATGATAAAAGAACTGTAACAGTATTATGAGGCTTTATAGAGCAATAACGATATAATATATTTTTCAAGGAAAGGGGTCTGTTTATGTTTTGGTTTTATATCATACAATAATTGATTAACGTGTATGTATACATTGACCAGAATGCCTATTCAATCATAGGATAAGCCAAGATGTTGAAATAAGTAAGTGTTTGCCACTGATCTTTATAAATAAAACGTGGTGTAATATCATTTAAGCTACAAATAGATTATGAATATTTCAAAAACATTGCACCCATTCATTCAAAGCGTTTAAACGTAGCATTTTCTAATTTTGCATGTTACTGCTTAGCATTGATTTACGCAAAAATAATCGTTAAATAACTCGTATGTGAAAACATACATAGTTGAACAATCCTTGAAGTGTCCATTCCGACGTTTGTTCAAACATATTTATTTCAGCTCGATTGCTGAATAGGTTCTTAAAATTTATATTAATTACTTTTAAACCAAGTCGAACAGGTGTTCTATGAAGAAACATGTCCGTGATCCGATAACATATAACGATAACCCATTATCCCTGGGTTCAGAGTCAGACACCTTCACCACTAGGCGATCGCTCTTCCATTTTGACGTTAAACATTAATCACTTACTGCCTATGAAGAAACATGGCCGTGATCCGATTAGGTCTCGAGTCAATTATCCCTTATCAAAGTACTTGTTTATATTTCTATATTCTTGTAAATCTTTTTCATAGTAACCTTGCCTTTGATGCAAGACAAGGCCATGGTTCCTATAGTGGGTCCTGCTTGGAAGATTTCTTTTTGTTTCCTTATTTAGAAAGAACACAACTGAGTTTTATAACGTTCGAAGAATAGTTCTAAAGCATTTGAGATGCTTTGATGCTAGTAACCTGGTGAAAATAGCGCTAAATGTGCAATAATTCGTCATTAAAGTAGCATAAATAACACTTCTTAACTGACTTATATTGAATCACATTGAATAATACCTTGATTATTTTTGTATTTCTTCTTTCACTTCAAAACAGGCATTTCACTGCAAAATAATAATTATTATAATACAAATGTTAAGTGTATATATTTATTAAAATGCTAATTGATGATTGTGTTACATTTTCAGATCAAAGGAAAGTCAACACATATTTAGAAAAATTCTTAAATGTCTTGGTGAACTAGGATTCCAGCATTTAAAAAAGAACTTAGTAACATTTATCATAGAACAAATATACTTTTTCCTATACAAAATCGGATGAAATATGCTGCAAACTTACAGTACGTATCCTTCAATTACTGGATTGCAATTTTGAAAACACCCAGCGAGAGAAACCAAACGTATGAATTATATTAATGTCTTACTAGTAAGTTATCAGCCTGAATTCACTCTATATTGATCAAACAGAGAGAGATACCTTTTATAAGTTTGGTACTATAAGAGGACGGAGGAGAAAATGACAAATTAACTTGTTTGCTGGTCTGTTGTTGTTATAGATTGTTAGTTTCATACACATTAAATACAAATCAGTACATGTATATTGGTTTTCCAAAGGGACTGATCAATTGTTATTTGTCTAAAGCAGTAAATGAAAATTGAAAACTGTGTGTTTACCCTGTTTTGTATGCGAATGTATGTGTCATATGTAGAGGACTGGATCATTAAATTACGTATCTTGATTACAATCTTGACATCATAGTTTTCAACTCCATTTCGTCTGATTTAACCCATGTTACAAAAATAGTAAAATTGTATGTCATGATTTCTGAATTAATGTTTATTATACATTCATTGACCATATGGAGTGTCCGTGTCGAGTGGATCAAATCTTTAAATTCAAACCCCTTCAATTTAAATCCCCTGCTCCACATCACGTTGGGTTTGAACCCCGCCCAGGGGACTTCCGTTTCTTTCATATGAGGAAGCTATCTAGCTAGCTTACGGAACGTCGGTGGTTTAATTCAGATGCCCGTTTGTGACTGAAGTATTGCATGGAGGATTACTTCCGGTCTTATTCCAGAAGTAACGTGTTAAAGTAGTCATATAACTTTTACGATGCTATTAACAACGCACAGACTTTTTATACAATAATAACAAGCAAAATCCATATAACCATCGCAATTTTAATAAACAACACTTAACAATCTTACAAATATCAATGTATAAATGGTCTCACATGTGAGGCAACATTGCACCAAGTTTTCAATGAATACAGTATAAAGACATGAAATAATATTCCATTTATCTAATTTCATAACAAGTACATGTCAATAAAAAGAAATTCGCAAAATGAGGATACCTACCCAACTTGAAGTTGATAAGAACATGGCAGCGATCTCACATTGATTTGATGTAATGTTGTTCAACAGGCATAGAGTTTATGTGTAGATTTGTAGATCTGAAACAATATTGGCACGTGACAGGATGATAGTCTGTTACACTCCATCGGACCACAATGTTCAGAAAGAATGTTGTCAATGTGTTCATTATCTGAGCGCCGATCATTATTTATACAATTAGTTAGATTTACACTTAGGTTGAACTCACATTTTAAGAACACATAGGATTGTGGTTGTCGCATGATGTCTTACAAGCACAAGGAAAGAACGAAAACAATTCCTAAAAACAACATTGATCAAAGTAATGTATCTACTACCATAGTTCCCAGATTTGAAAGTGATAGAAGGTAAAGAGGGTTGCATTGAACTTCCTTGTACAATACAGTGCAACAGATTATCACCCGGGGATATGTGAAGATTATCCAAGAGTGAATGAATCTACCTTTCTACAACGCTGTCAGGTGGTTATCACTCGGGTTGAAATTCAATACTTTAGAATAATCGTCAATAATATAGCCATTCAATGCACTATCACATTTGGGGAAGGGGACATGTGTTATAAATGTTTAATTATTAAGTCAATTATCGTACCATGTCCTTCATTTAGATTGTCAGCATGATAGGACTAATATAAACGCACATATGAGACTATTTATACATGCACACTTATAAAATTTGTTTGGTATATAGTGAAATTTATTTAAATACTTATCAAAGTGATATGTTTTTAATTTTCATAATGAATGCTAGAGTAACATTTATATATAATGTTTATTCGGAACAACTTTTACACAGAAATATGTTTATTGATAACAAAATAGATTTCTTTTAATAAAAATAATATAAATCCTATTTGGTGATGTGTTACATGACATTTAAAGGATTTAAAATGGAATCTTATATAATTATATTAAACGCAGCCATGAAATGTTAAAACTTTTTCCAGAGCATATCTAATAGTATACGCTTGGATTGACTTTAGTATTACTTGATGTAGATACTCATCACCTCAACGGAAAAAGGTTTATTACATAAACAAAGGGCCCCTTTTGTCATATGTAAAAGGGACAGAAACGGTTTTGTTTTGGGTCAAAAAAATTTTGCATGCTTATATTGTAAAAAATATTAACCCTTTCAAAGGGGTTTTTATAAAAACCCGTTTTAAGCGCAACATTTTTGGACCTGTTTCCAAAAGGGCAAAACACATAACAGGAAAAAATGATTTTTTTGAGAATAATTTTTGCCTGGTTTAAAGGAAAGTTTTAAAATTAACATTAAATTTTTTTAGAATAACTTTTTGATCATGGGAAAACTTATTAAATTTTAAAATATTTAAACAAACTATTATTTTTTTTTTAATTTTCCTTTTCAGTCCGTCTATGCCTTGCGCCCGTTTCCCGTTTTTTTTTGGGTCCTCCTGGCTACTTTGGGTTGGGCTTTTTTTGGGTTTCGTTCAATTGAAACTCCCCTTTCTTTGTCAATCTGGTTTATCATATTTTGTGTTCTGATACAATTTATATCCAGAATATTTTTTGAATTATTTATAATTAATAGAAGAAAAAACAAATAAAGAATCCGATCACCAGCTGAATTAGCGCATTTTCAATTAAATGACTGTATCAAATAAAGAAACCTTATAATAAATACAATCAAAGTCTATATAGAATCTAAATACTTAAGAAACTTTTTGTAAGAGAGATTTTTCTACTTAGTAAGATGACATTTCATTTCATGCTTTCCAGTGTTTTACTGTAATATATCCGATGATTATATTTTGATAAATCACTAGTGAAATTTATAAAATGTAATTTTACTGTAGCCGGACTATAATTATATCTGAATATATCTTATATCATAACTAAATGGAATAACAGAAAACAATAAATACCGTCATACGTAAATGCTCCTTTAAGAAAAGAAAGTCAATGTCATCATTTATCATGTTAAAAATGTAACAAAATTAGAGAGATTTTAAAGTAACAGAACTATATTTCAAAAATTGATGATGTGACGTCATGATGTTATGAGGTCATAAAGAAGAATGCGCGACATTACGCGGCAAATCCGTAAAAAATACTTAAAATCACTTCAAAAGCATGAACTTAAAGACAATTTATTTGTTTTTACATATAAGATTAAAATATATTTCATTCGTAAACACCAGCTATTCTATATTGCATCTGATATTCACTGAGTGAAATATATTTCAATCTTACATGCAAAATAAACAAATATCCTCTATGAAATTCAGAAGTGAAATAATGAAAATTTGTTTCCACGTATAATGTTCTTGCGCATTATCCGCTTTTCTACAAATCTACCATTTTGTTTTATTTTAAACAATAACTACGCAGACAAAACAGCTCTTAATCTTATCTCGTACAGTGTAGCCATTTAATAACTACATTTATAACACCAGTTACGAAGGACACTACTTGTGTAGCATGTATTACATATGTGTAATGGAAATAAAATATATATCAAAACAAGTGCTTTTCAAATGCATATGTACACAGATAATGTCACATATAATTACATTGTGTAAAAGGTCAAATTAAATACAGTGAAAGTTGAGGAAACCGGACGGCTTCCGGACCGAGGGTTATGTCCGGTTTTCTCAGTGGTCCGGTATTCTCAATGTCCCCTTAAGCTGTTCAGGATCATATATACTGAGCAATGACTTACACAGGATGCTGTATATTTGCATTTTCATGATCATGTGAATGTATATTGCTAAATAAAGAAATGATAAAAATACAATAAAATATGTTTTAATTGTTTTTTGTCCAATTATTGCATATAAATATATTAAAATTTTGGATTTAAACGAACAGCAATTACACCATAACAATAAACTCCGCTTACACCTGCATATGTTTAATACATTTGGGTTATGAATAATGATTTAACAAACACAGTTTACATGTTTGTTTATAATAATTCCCCATTGTAAATATTACCGATACCATATTTGTCTGATAAAGATTTTTAAAGTACATGTAGGTCTCGGCAAAGTCACTGTTTTTTTTTTATTAATTTAACTTTATCACTTATAGACAACTCTCGTCGAATTATTTTAGGCCATGGAATAGAACTTAGCGCCAATAAGTGTCGTTTCCGTTGCCTTTTCATTTTGAGAAATGAATATACAAAAAGCAACGCAATATAATATTTAATACTCTATTTATTATTCATACTGGTTTTAACTTATCAATTCTTCGTGCATTTTGACATAAAACGGTATACCTTACAATAAATCTAACTGAAAAGAGACATAATAAACAAATCAGACAATCATTGTTCCGTTACCGCTCAGTAAGGGTATTAGACACAACCTGATCGATAAGTACACAAGGTTATTCACACCTTTGTCGTCCGGTATTGTCAGGGTAATTGGAGAGGTCATCAGACCTCTCCATAGTGTTCAGACTGAATGCTGGCGGCATCCATGTTTGCGTATCTGATTGTAGTGAATGAATCTCATTTACAGCTTAAAACCATTAGGAGCAGTCTACAAAATTTGTTTTGCGCATGCTCCGTTTCAAAATACGACTTAACTTAAACGAAAAATTGGCATCGAAGTGAACGAATCGGTACATAAAAAAATCGGAAAATATTATTTACGTTACTTAGCGCGCTACATGGATGTTTCATTCCGTTCTAATCTTTTAAACTGTATAAATCGATTACAGTATTGTTTTCAGAATAGCATTTTACTATTTCATGTTCCGATAAATAGTTACAGTGACGATAAATAGTAACAGTGAACATTATAGCTACAATAACACCATGCACTTTATATGACCGAGTGAACCGTGTACCGAAATTTTGCTGCTCCTAAAATATTTTAACCGGTATGACTATGTAACGCAACGGGGATTTTTGGCGCAAATGGCACAAATTTGACACAAGTTTGATTGTCTTAAAATATTGTAGTTGGAGGCATGCAGCTTTATATTCTGTTTATTCCAATCAAATTATATAAAACATTTTTTATGTAAATCCTGGACTTGAAATTGTCTGATTAACATACTTTATGCCCGTTTTGGAAAATGTAGACGAAATGTTTCCATATACTTACCAAAACATATTAACCGAAAATTTGCTTATTGAATTTTAAAAAAAAAATTATTTTGATACTACTTTTAATATACATATCATTTATTTTAATTTAGTTCCCTTTGTAGAAAAACTATCCCTAATGCGCCAAGAAAAAGTCCATTTCTCCGGCATATAATCTTTCAAAACATTAAAAAATGAAGTGTAAAACAAACTTTCATTATGATACTATATATTCAATTTATATAATAAATTCCATTTTGTTAAATAATTGTAATTTATAACCATTCATTGTGTCTTTTTTCTCAAATATTTTCAAATTAAACAAATCTTCAACAGCAGCAAAAAGACCTCTCGCATGCTTCTTTTTAAAGAAGCAAACTTGTTGTCTATATAATTGACTTTGTAGTCCTCTATCAACTGTCCGATATTCGGTGTTTACAGATTCCGGTATTGTCCATGTTTAATACAATAGTTAAAAGAAGGGAAAACTTAGGACTGAATTATTCGTCCGGTATTTAGAGAGTTCCGATTTTCTCAGCTTCCGGTTTTCTCAATTTTCACTGTATACAAAATTAACCAAAATGTTCATTACAATTTAAGCTTAATAGTATTATAATAACAAGTCAAATTAGTATCTGATATTGTTTAAGTAAAATGACAGGTTTCAGAACGCAGCACTTAAGTGCAAACGTTTACATGGAATAATTTGATAATTCCATGCGTCCAAAATAGATCGGTCAGCACTTGTTCAGGGTAACAATTAATGAAATTGTAAACATTGCATGATTGTTGTCGTTGTTGAATATTTTTTAAAGAATCGTTGTCCCAGTTATGCGCGTCAACAATGAAACATTTTTCTGAGAAAATTATTGTGTTTGAATTGTCAACAAATTCGTTTCTTGTTAAACATAAATGCAAACAAAAAAATGTTATGTACGTGTCACACACTTTCAATTCCAAAATATTTACGCATAAGGAAGAATGATCGACAGTATTTTCCAGCCGATTGGAAGAGCAGTCATCGTTGCTATCAACGGCACTGAGGCGTAACAAATATCACCACCGTGGATTTATTCTCACAATATTTCTTTTGTGACGTAGTAGAATGGAAGTAGATATTAGTTTTGAGTGCGTTGTTGTAAAATATTGGACGTTATGTCGTTTAGATGATTGTAATTAATCACGCAGACTTAAGGTCTTCGTGATTAAATTACCGCGCATCTGTACTCCATAATGTGGAAAATTTTGCAAAAAAGCACTCAAGAACAAGATCTATTTCCTAAATAATTTTAGTGAAACATGGCAAAGCGGGTGGCTAAATCAATTCCTTTTATCAGTAAAACTGGACAAGTCGCAAATGAACTGACTCAAAACAAAACCATTTCATGTGTGCGTATCTGTATTTAAACGTGAAGTCATATAAATATTTTTTTTCACATAATTTCCAATACAATTTGTTTGTCAAGCCATACTTAATGCCAAATAAGATTCAATATATTACTATTTGATGGCCGAGTGGATAATTCGTCGGACTTCTACTTTAAGATTGCCTGCCGCGTTGGTTCCCATCCGTTAAAGTAATGCGAGTCTGCAAGAAACTTCAAATTGTCTTAAGTACTGGCCTATTCCATGAACAGGCTTCAAAGTGTATCGTTTTTGAAACATTTTAACCTCAAACACAATCAAACAAAAATAAATTCTGTATTAACGTATATGTAAAAAACGTACATCACTGTTATATGTCAGAATACCTTGCTGACGTCCCAAATTTAAAATCAAGTCCCAAATTTAAAATCAAAACACATGTCAAATGAGAACAATTGTTTATTGATCATGAAAAATTACTCCATATTTATTTATATCTGAATATTCAAATTAACAAAAATGTATATAGTTCATCGTTAGTTAAACGTTTAAAATAAGTGTTCAGAATGCTATGTTATTATTTTAATTGTTGATATAGTTATAAAGATTTGATCTACTTTCAAATGAGCAACATTAATAACAATGTTCATATGCCAATCAGATGGGAATTATGCCAAACATGCAGAAAAACTGTTATTATATTAATACCGATTGCACACGCACTTTCCATATGAATGTCTGTATAACTAAGAAGGTATTGGTTGTTTTGCTTCATAAACATTCATCGATTTTGCCTATACATATAAAACTTATCAATAAATGGTCGTACTGTTACCGTGCATGTAAGCTGGCATCATAAAAATTGTAGAAGTGCCGTTGATATTATCGTCTTCGTCATCGATTGCAATGGCATTGGCAATGGTATTGCTGGACTAAACAATAATGCGCTAAACTTTCTCTTTAATTGAGTCAAATTCAAATTCAAGGCTTAATAAAAATGTTTTAAACAAAGACAAAAAACGATTTGTAATCATTCAATCCACATCGCTCATAATTAGGCAAAACTCAAAAACCACCAAAAGGCGTGTTTCATACAAAATAATGTTCAGAATTATTTGTACAAATCAAATTTCACATTTTAAACTAAGATGCTCATTTGAAAATATAACAATTGTTCAAAAATGTTTTATCCGAGATATTGAAAAAAGGAAAACAGATTAACAATAGATCAGAATTACAGGAAGAGCGAGTTGAACACACTGAGTTATCTATTTTACTTCTTTGCACAAATATGTTGTCTTAAGATATCACAATGCGCAGATAATATTTTTCTTTAAAACAGTATTTGTATTAGAAAAATTTATACTTCTCGTTTAACATTAACAAAACAATAAGTGTCTAAATAAAGGAACATATTTTGTATTTAAGGAACACTACCAAATGTCAAAATCATAAAAAAGAAAACATGAAATTTGAAAATACAACATAGATTAACTGGGGCACTTAAAATGGAATGACAGAAAAGAATAATAAAGAAATATACTCAAAATCCAATTGAAAAATCGATAAATGCAAGTCTCATTCCAATTTGAATAAAACACTTTTAAATGCTTTTCATTTTTAGATTATATTTAACTTTTCAAAATCGGAATAGTTATCAACCTCTATTAAACGTTTTTGGGGGTATTTACACGTACCTTTACAAAAGTTTATAGATGACATTCAACATCATCAGTATACATACGGTGCTCAAAGCTATCTTGGATGATACCGCTGACGATGCTGTTGAAGAATAATGTGATATAGATGAGTCTAAAATTCTATATCTATCTAGTTAGTTCAAGAAAGATGTGATGCACTAACGGCATATATGGTCATTCACAATTGACATAATCATAAGACGATGAACAGCGTAACATTATATATACACCTATACCATTTAAAAAAAAGAAATATAATATATATGCGATTTTGTCAATTTGATTCATTAAGAGTGATATAAAAATAAATTCCCCAAATTTTGACATAGAAACTCAGATCTTTGCATCTGAACATAAACCTCAGTGTATAAATAGCAGAAAACGGTTTCCAATTTCAGTAAAAGCTAAAATATCGTCCGCCCAAAGTGCAAGTAGTCGTATGAATTTAATCATTTGAGATTTAGCAAAAATTCATGGAAAATGGAAGAAGAATATTTCATTAAACTTTCTACTAGGTTCATTAAGAATTTAAATGTTCTGAATGGTTCACCATTAACAGAAATGAATAATAATCAATTTTGTGAAGCTATAATCAAATATTGACTTACGTTTCGCACACAATCCACTTGAAGCAACAAATCCGTCTTTACATTTGCAAGGACTTCCAACTTTATCACAGCTAGCATTTAAACCACAATCCGTAATTGTTGAACAGTTTTGACCGGCCGCTAAATGGAATTTAAAATAAAAGTTTTAATTGATAATAAAACATTTAAAACTAGAGTAGTGAGTTCTTTTTTCTTCTCAGTGACATACTTTTAAAAACTCGTTTATAAATTATCTCAAATTGTTAAAGGATTGAATAAGCTTCATTTAACAAAGTTGTTCAATTCAAGCATTCACAGTGATCACATTCTTGTCTGATAAAGTGTATTACAAGCTTGGTTTTTGCCAAAGATAGACATTTACAATATGCTTTCATTTAAATTCAAACATATTCTAATGTTTTAATATCATGTAATGAAAAACAATTAAGGATTAAAACCGCTTGTTCTTGGTTATAACGTTTCTTACATGGATGTTAATTTTTGCTCAACTTTTATAGAAAAGTGTTTTATGTTTTGATAAATACAATATAATCGACGTTAAAAAAGTTTGATTAACTCGGTTTACGCATTAAAAATTTTATCACTTGTATTCAAATAAATGCTCAGCAAAATGATTTTAAGTAATGAAAGAACGTTTTACATGGTTCTGCCGAATATTGCCAATTATGAAGTAAATATAAAGATAAATGACAAAATTCACTTTCCAATTGTACAAAATAATCTGAAATATTTTCAGTTTTGACATACATGTATTTTATGATTAAAACTATATATAATAATCAAACCTTTGGGACAAACTCCATTTTCCTCAACATAAGTTGCCTTGCAAGAGCATTTGCTTTTTAGACAATCCGCATTTGGCGGGTCATTGCAATCTGATGTTGTGCTACATGAAGTACCAAGAACTGAAAGGAGTATTTTAATACCAACAGTATACCACTCAAAATAGTTTGACAGGACAAGCTTCATAGTTTTGTTACATTTGTTAAAATTTTTGTTAATTCAGCTGATATTTCTTTTAGTGGATTATTTTAAAACCATAAACTAAATAAAGATTAGTTTATGCAATGTTTATAGCCTACAGATATACAAAAGAAACATGTAAATATCAAAATTTTTAAAAACGTGTTCATTTAATATATCATTGAATACGAAAGGTTTTGATCAAACGTAAATACTTTTCAAGCATGTGTCATCTTTGTTCTTGTAACCTGATTTACAACCACACTTTTTTGAAATGCACTTGGAGTTCTTTAGTGTGCATACAGTCGATTCAGTTGTATCATTACAAGGTTTGTCGATAACTGAAGAAAAAACAGTGGCTTATATAATTTTAATGTATAGAAACGAAACAAACTTTACCATGAAGAAATATTATGTCCTTTAATATTTTGTCTACTTGAACCAAGCATCGTTTACAAAATCACAGGTTAAAAAATAATGCAATTTAAGAAATCCAGTGCAAAATCAAATTTGCTTAAACCCTTCTACCTTATAAATATTGACATACTTGTCACTTCATCATTTCTTCAATGTAAACTTTTAAAACTTTCAGGAAAATTAACATTTGTTGATTTTTTCCTTGACATATCATTATTAATTGAATATTGTGTCACATCATATTAAAGACAAGTGATACAGTTTGCAACCAAAAGTATATTTTAATAAATGTATGCTTTAAATTTTTAACTTAGAGCTTGTTTTAGCAGAATTAAATGATAGTAAAAAATACTTTTGGGAGTGCATTTCCCTTGCACGTCTTTAAAGCTAGTATCACACTGACATGTATTTGATGTACACGAGGCATTTCCTGCACTCGAACAATTTGACGTGTCCGTGCAGTTGGAACCGATCACTGGAATTATAAGGCATTCGAAATTGAACATTTAAAAATAGTTTACTAGAACTGAAGAAAATCCGGTTGTATTCCCAAACTGAAATAATTTCATAATATTTGATAGTTTTAATTTTATCCCTTTTAAATTATATGAAGTGTTCATATGTTTAGACTATTAATTTCATTTTACAATGTTATAAAAAATTATTTTAAAGATAATATTTTCTATACCTGTCTACTAATAAGACTTTGATTCGAATTAAAAGGAATATCGGTATATGCAGGGAGCGTCACATTATAATACCAGGAAGTGTTGAGAGCAACTTAAACTCAATTACCTCCTGATGAAGCAGCAGCGCCTGTGTTCAGGTTTACAACTGCACATATTACACAGAGCAACATACATAGATATACAGACTCCTATATTAAAATACACAAAAATATATCAGCAAGTTAAACACAAAACAACTTAGTCGAAACTAATCAATATTTAGTATTCAAGATACCAAGCACAAAAATCCAAGCATTGCTATTTAATTTGTATATGAGTATTGTGTCGCTTGAAAATAATGGGGTTGCACTTTTCGAACAAAACAAATAAGGGAAAATAGATAAAGTAGACAAATAAAAATTTCTTGAATTTTTAATATCTATTTATATTACGTTTCGTTTTATGTATTAAGGAATACTTTAAACAGCTTTCCTTCCTGTTCAGAAAAAATGTTTGTTCATTTAAGCAAATAAGACTTAAAATATAACTATATGAGGAATTTGTTGTTGCAGGGCTAAGTAAATAATTCTTTTCATTATATTACAAGGGTTTAATCATTGCTGATCTTTCACTTGCATAGGACTGCATTAAGTAGCAAATATTGCAACCACTCCAGTTGCTACTGTTAGAAACATATATTTGTTCATTTATGAGGATAGAATAACAGCGGTACATTTTGCAATTTGCCATGATTGGAATATCTATATATTTTAGTTACAATATAACTAATACCCCTTAAACAATCAAGGATATTGTGTGTTAAATATAATTAGATTAATTGCATAGCATGTACAGTCTTCTACATATTTGTTGTTGATATGAAATGCTCGTAAATGTATTACATAATACATCGGCAGATATAAGACAAACTTCTAAAAAGATACATGTATGTATGGCACCAATATCAACCTTACCCTTTCAATACCTTTTTTGTCATGCTCATTTCCATAATAATGTGATCATAAATTTCTACTCTTTTTTTTTTTGGACTGCTCGTCTGGATTTCGAGTTGTGCCGCAGAAATATTTTAATTAAAATACGTCTTTCTCAAAGAGTGTTATAAATTTGAAACAGTGTCAATTTTCTTAGCCAAACATTTTTAAATCACAAATCTTCAATATATAATTTAGGGAATAAATGTAAATATCAATGAAAATAGAGTTAAAGTATTTTTTTTTATATTGTACCAACAGCACCGCTTCATGTAGAAACATTTGAGTGTTGATTTTAAAATCTGAAATGCATGCTTCCTCTCTGTAAAGTTAAATCATTTCACTTTTTTGCGTTCTGCAACTCATTGTTTGAACAAAGTGTTTGATCAGCACGTGTCAGATTAAATAATCAATAACACAGTAACTGTCTCACGAACATCTGTTTTCGTTAATTACATTAAGTTTGACAATTAATGGTCGATTTAAAAAGACTGATAAGATAAACTAATCACATTTTGTGTGATAATGTTCCATAAGAATTATATTTTGCAAAATGTATAGTTTATAGTACAGAAAATGTATTTTATTGTTTTTATTGTTAACACCTATGAATTTCAATAAAATCAAGCCATAATTTTGATCAGGTGATACAAATTACAGCGCTTTCTCATTGCCTTCACTTTATGCCACTGGTCTCTTTCACTATGTGAAAGCATAATCAATTTCCTTTTCAATTTATTCTCAAAGCAAGATTGTGGTTGATATACGGTAGACTCTTGACAATCAAGTGACTATATGATCTCCTTTCAGGGAGCATAAATTTATTGCCTAATGACCATATGAAAAATACTCGACGCCTTTAACGAAGGCATGGCAACAAAAATACACATACAAGAATCAGACATAGCAAAGCATTAGCAATTTGGGTGAGTTAAAGGGGGCTTTAAGAATTGTCAATCTTTGGGTATTGTACTTAGTCAGTCAGATGGTTTTAAAGGGGATTCATCTGTATTGGTAATCATTTATTTTCTTTATCAGAATAATTATTGAAACTATTTTTGTTTTTGTATTGCATATAAGCAATATAGACAATAACATAGACGAAGTATTTTCTACATCCCCTCAGTTCGACTGCAGGCAGCCATATATGGCCACATGACGTTAAAGCCGCATGACGTCATGCGGCCTTGAACGCGCATCTGCGTCAAACAGTCAAACATGCGCGAGCACATATTTCACATCCTGGTCGGATTACGTAGGCGGGTCGACTATGGCCGCTTACATACGCTTCAGATATAAAAAACGCCTTTTTTCAAAAATAATTATCATTTAAAATACTTCCATATAAACCGTAACCATATTTGCATATAAAAAGTCAATTATTTCCGTTAAAGTATTTACTACAATGCCTATAATAACTCTTTAAAAAAGCATTTTCTCCAACCATAGAAGGTTAAATAGTTGGGACATTGCCTCAAATATTCTGAAATAAATTACAGGGCATTTTGATTACAACCACTAAGCTTCACTGAAATTTATTGATATGCCTTCTCCGAAACAAAAAATATTTTCATTAGTTTGAATACCTTATAACATGCATCTAAGTAATTTAAATCTACAATAATTACAAAAAAAATTAATAGACATTACCCATGTGTAACTTTGCCTCAGACGTTTTGATTATGTAATAAAATATTGCATGGTACTGTGTTAAATGAAATAATCACTAATATGTTAACATTTTAATCCCTATGTTGAAATAGAAATAACAGAATTGTCAATTATTCAAAAATGTCTTACCATGATTGTTGTTCAGTGTATAAATTAAATCCGCCGTCCTTCAACTGACGCTGACAATGCGCTAGAATTTATATGATTTTGTTATCTTTTCTGTCACGTGACATGTCCCGTTGGCAACCGTCCTTCTATTTACAATAAACACATTTGTCTGTACCTGTTTTAGCTGGGTTGCAATTTGTCTTTAATCAATGCTCTTTTTTGCAATGAATTGCCTGATTATGAGAAAAGGTCATAGGTGTATTATATTAAAGCTTTAAAAAAACGGAAACGACACTCATATGAGAGCACGAATTATGAAAATTCAAATTTCTTCCTTGTATAGAATTAAAGGTCAAGTGAACGACTTTTGTTGTGTTTTATGTTCGCAAACATGTATGAACAAATCCTATTTAGTTGAAAGTATGTGATAACAAAATCATTTAACTGCTTTACACATGATGTCACTACCTGGACAAGTAGAACATTTATGATATGATGTGTTAATTGTAATAAGATTTATTACGCCTACAGTCTTCTGCAGATTGATAAGAAATTCTTATTAAAAGATAGAGAAATCATCTTCAAGTTTTGCATGTAACAAATATCAACACTGTGTCAATGTTTGGCATAATATGCTTTGCTGTGATTATATAATTAATTTTATAATAGTTTGGATACCTTTTTATTGAAAATGTATCAGAGTTTAGTCGTACCTATAGATGCACTGCGTTCGTGACTGTGAGTGCAGGTTCCTACAGTACATATGCTTGGCTACGCTCGTAGATTGGCGGCATTCTGTCTAGGGTTTACTTTTTACAACGACGGGGAAAAAGGATAATGATACTCAGATGATCGTACAGTGGTTACATTTAATCTACGGTTTCATATTTTGACGACAAAGAAAATGTTTTAATTTTTACCTATGATACAAAAACGAAAGATCATCGATACAGTCGACAATTGGAAATATACTCAGCAGCACAATAAGGTGGTCTTTTATTTGTTTCGATGCTCTTTCCATTATCTTATATACCCCTTTAAATGCTCTTTTACTACTGTATGAACGCTTATTATTTCCCATTACATAGTTATCAATATTTTGTGTCCTTGGGATCCAGCAGACATTTTCACAAAATATTTCACGATTTATCTTAAATATTTTATCTAGGATAATCGTAAGTCAAATCTTAAATCATTTCACAAAGCCACTCGTTAGATAAAATTTTATCTCAAGATAAAAAATAGTCTTTATCGTAAATTTTACAATAAGAAACGTCCGTAGCAACGTTCATTTGATATTGGTGCTGCTATAAAATCAAGTAAATTAATGAAGAGCTTAAAATATAGATCTGTACTTAACAAAATCAAATTATCCTCAAAATTACAATAAGAAGAACAAACAAATTCAAACCGATACATTTTCTACCTCAATTTAAAATTGTTTTACGGATTCTAGTGTGATTCAGAAACAAAGTCAACTACATTTTTGTCAAGGTATAAACAAAAAATAATTAGATAACGACCATGCTGGCAGTAGAAATTGAACTAACGGCATGGTATAAAACATAAGTTTTCAAAATTTCTAGACTGCCACCGACAAGAGTTATGTTCAACATTATAAACGCATAAATCGTATATTTGTCCTTCAGTTATTTTATGGTTTTTTAAGTGATATTTTACTCTTGAATTACGAAAGGGGAACACCTATCGTAAAGTTACGATAGATTCTACCCTTAATATTTTCCTATCACATTTTTTTTTTGAAAGGATGATTTATCGTAAGATTTCTCTTACGATAGAAATTTGACGCAGGAATGTTTTGGAAAAAAAATCAGCTGTCTTTTTGAAAGGAGGCATTTTGTAGTTGTTAATATTTTCACAAACCTAAACATATTAAGAAAATATATTTTAAGTGTACATGGAACAAACAATACACATGACATATCAATACATTTTGACACATTAATTGTACGTATAAATTTATACTTTTTTCTTATTATATAGATTTATTTCACTGTTGTTTTTTCTTTTTCTTTTTTATATTTGCACAAATGCCTTTACATAACGAGACTGCACGAATGATTGTAGTTTTTTCTAAACTGTGATAAAGTTTGACACATCGTCATTTATTATGTTACACAAACATTTTAAATCACAAACAAATCCTTCAATAAACAGATAAGCGTATAATTTTGAATATTAATGCGACAAAAAAGATAAACTAACTTGAGGAGAAGTGCCTTTGTACCGCTTTGTATGGAAACACTTAAGTTTTGACTCCTTGGAAGCATGCAATTTCTGATTATTGCGATTTAAAACTTTTTTTTAACCACGGGGGATTGCTCGTTAAGTGTCTGAAAAATATTCCGTCAATAACACAGTAACTGTCTCGCTGGCATAAGAGGGCATTTTAATTTTAACCAAGTAAACGTTTTATTAAGTTAACAATAGAAATGGAAACGTGTATTTCATTTTAGCTTTACTGGACATGCACCTCAATAATTTCAAAAATACTGAAACAAACAACCTGCTTCACATTAAGTCACTGATGATTACAATTACATTTTACTAAAATTTGCTAAAATATAAAGGAATATTAAATCACTAAAGAATGTCCAAAACGGCAGAATTGATAATGTTGCAGTATAGGTTTTATTGAGCCTGTCCATAAACAAGCACATATTGACGGTCGTAATGAATTTCTGTACTTATGTTAGGGCTAAGGAATTCAACTACAGTTATAATGCTTTTCGATGGTAATATTACTTTGCTGATACAATAAAATTCCAATAAAAATATGCCATATATTAGACTTGTAAGACAAGAAACACAATTCTTTTATGTTAAGATGGTATTCTGATGAAGTAAAAAAATGTTTTGTACAATATCATTTAATCTTTGTACCTAGAAACATTATTGACGATGTTTGTCCTTATTATCAATTGTTACGTATTTTAAAACGTGGTGCTTCCACAATTACCTTTCTCAAACTCAAATGATACTTATTTATATCCCATAAATACTAGTAAAATTATTTTGCCACGTATATGCAATTTAAATAAAACATTTTTACATAAGTATTTGTTTCTGTCACCATCAGGTTGTTCTGATGCCCAATTAATTTTGTTTAAAGGGAAAATATTATAAGTTAATTACACATTTAGCAGGATATACCGATTTTTTTTAACTTTTGCAAAAATCTAAAATATTAAAAACGATGAACCTACATTTTTTTCCTCAAAGAAATAACTCATTTAATAAGATATTTGCAAATCTTAGATAAAGAACGAACATTTTTATCACTAAATTGCAATACGTTGCAAGATTAGTTGTTTTATCAAAAAAACTATTTTATCTGTAAATTCATACGTAGTGAATTAATACCTCATTTCACCAACTTTATGAAGATAAAACAGATCAGTTTAGAAACCGATAACAAAGAAAAAATGACAACTGTTCCCTTTGACAAATGTTATTCTGATGGAAAAATACCATACAAGTGTTCTTACTTATAAACAAAAAATATTTCAAATATTACTTGCGAACAGGTGTGAAGTATGTTGCAACAGACAAATTGTTTTTCATTAAGATACGATGGCGGTGTTTTTTCTTCTTAAAAATGTTTTGAAGTTAAATAAAGAATTTCTTAAATAGCGCAAAATCTTTGCTACAAACGGTTTTTAATGTCATTTATTATATTATGTCTATTTTTGTACCAGTATTATTAAAAAAAAAATCTTTTTCATCTGAGTTTTTATGCATAAATGATTGGTGATACGATATATATAAAAAGAAATGAAAACTTCGTAGGACATAAAAAGCTGCCCGACATTTCCTGCTTAAACACGCTTCCCTTGAACAAAAGCAAATTACCCCATACAAAGAAGACCACCAATATCTACAGAAGACATATGTAGTCAATAAACAATCGTTTTGTGAACAATATTTTAAACTCCATTGACCTTGAACATGATCTTGACAAAATGCCTCCTTACTACACTGAAAGTAAGAAGGCCATCCAATATACGTATCTATCAAACATATAAATAACAAAAGTCAACGAATTAAGGTTAACTTGTTCAAGTTGTCAAGGCGACATTTCCTCTCACCCGAATTCTGAACCAGCATCCCAAAAATGTCAAACCCGATTATCTCCCCGTAAAAATGTCTATAACTGTGAGAAGCAAGCATTATTTACATAAGATAGGTAAATATAAATATAGCTTAATGGTTCTTCATTGCACTTTATCTTACCTGTCTCTGGCACTATGTGATGTGTAATCAATATCCTTTAATTCTTTTCAAGTTATCCTTACAACAATTGTGTAAGGGACATATGGAAGAACTGACAAGGTAATTATAGGTTTTCTCTTAATGGTAAATGAAAATGCACAAAGGCACTCGCTGCCTATAAGGAAGGTAGAGCAACAACTAGTTGTATCTGAACAGACAAATAAATTAATATTTTTAATAGTAGCGTATAAAGTTGAAAGCTTGTAAAGACTGTAATAAGTTGATAATAATTTGAAACGTTACACATTGCAATGTAGTGTTCTCTATGTCGCTCTTGCAAAATAAAGTCCTTCTAAGATATATCCATTGCATATTTTGAACATGTTAGATCACACGCATCTACGTTATTTGAACAGTACTATTAAAAAGAAAAAAGTTTGACGAGATAATCTATATTTTAAGCCCAGTAATTCACACTAAAGTTTTAAGAGCTATTTAAATATTTAAAACAAAAAAAAAACACATTCCAATAACCTTTAAGGCACATTTTGCTTGAGAAACAGAAATATTTTTCCTTCTTTACAAACGACAAATATTGGTTTTATGACGCTTTGAGAGTTTAAATGACATTTAAATTGTTTTAGAATATGTAAGATACTTATCACCTGATAAAAGTTGTGCTTAATGTGACATTATTTGTCATTTAGTAGCAAAATGTATACAGAGTAGTTTTTTGACAATACTAAATCACCATATCTGTACTGTAAAGATGGTTCAGATAATTAGCAAGTCGGTTACTAAAGTATATTGGAATATCAAACATTAATACGTAGCAAAATCTTATTTCATATGAATAAATATATATGTATAACATGTTGTTTTATATTATTTGCTTCTGTTGTATATTGTCTGTGAAATGGTGATATCCGGTAGTAAAT